AACCTAGTAGCAAAGCAAGCATCAGCATACTCAACTGGCTCTACAACTTGTGGTCTGAGAGGAAATTAGCTGCGAATAAAATTTGGCTTGATAGATCTCATGGCTTATAATTGCTGAGCTTATCTCCACTTCAAGTAAAATAGTTTGATGGAGAAAATTAAAAGCCAATTTTATCATAAGACAGAGGCGGGTTACTCCTGACACTGTCGATGTCTGCTAGACAATCTCGTTCGACCAGTATTTGTGCTGTTTTTGTCCACCATCAGACTAAGGCATTCCTGCGACCATGCTTAAAGGTCGCATATAAGCAGAGTTTAGAGAGAACTAGTCTCGCATAAGTCGGAGATCGTTCGCAAGCTCGAATATAGTCGTGAGAATAATGCCCTGCCTCATTGATGTCCGGACAGGAAGTTTTCGCTTGGGTCGAAATACATTCCCGAAAACGATATAAGCAGAAAGGATCCATTAAAGCAAACTGACAACTGGCCAGTGGAAATCCACTCCAATATTGTGATAAGATTGAACTACAAGCCCATCCAAATGAAGTCAATTACGCAATCATCCCATTGGGCAGGCCTATCGAATCGCATACAAAAGCGGAGTAACGGGATACACAAATTTTGACAAGAATTTGTCTTACATTCCGAAACTTATAGCAGCGTCTCGTGAAAAATCATCACGATGTACATCAATTTAGGGTGGCAGTTGGACGCTGCAATCAAACTCCAGCATTGAGTCACGTCAGGCGCAATCGATCTTCAGGTTTGTCGAAATCGTTTACAGTGAGCATAGGTACGATGCCTCCCGCCGGACCCCGGAACTTAGCCCCTATCAGTTTGCGCCTTCAGAGGTAGCCTATGAACCTCCACGTATCTAAGCAACTGACGAAAGTAGGGTCATACGTTCCCGGGTTCGTAATCGTAATCCCAATACTAAAGGCTAACTGTCAAGATCAAAGCGCCCTCAGACCATCTCCCGCTTCAAAGCCAACAATCATCAACCTCAGAAATCATTGAACGAAGCTCAAATTCATGCCCACAGTAGCTCTGCGTGACGAAACCATAATAAAATTAATATATCTGATTAGACACTAACAGGTAGGGTACCGCTAGACATCCACACGAAGCACTATTCGTGACGAATTAGAATAAATTGCATCAAACAGCTGATACCGTCCAAGATACCCACAAGAAAACAACTAGCGAAGCTTCACTAAGGATTTTGTTCCATGGAAGTGCCTAGGTGCATGCACTAGTACTGCCAAGCTGATATTTGAAGCAGAAACGAGCAGTCGGGGGAAGTGGCGAGTGGAGACAACTAGGAACAATGTCTCAACGCAAAGAAGCGTGCAAACCTTTGTCCCAGAGTGAAATAAGAGGCGGGAAAAGTATGAAATCAGACTGCAAACTGTCGTTACTTTGTCTAACAACTTTAAAGAAGCGTGTCTAAGTCTACGCTTACACCGAGATATCCTATTCGAATAACCATAGATCCACACTCGCAAGAGATTGTGTGGAATCAAAAGTACAGCAAGGCCACTATTAGGTCTGGGTTCTTATTTTTCCGAAGAATCCTAAGCCAGATGATTATCAGTTGGTATATGAAGTGACGATCACACCGGAGGGTTGTTGGCCTAATCAATGAAAGCCAGATATAAACAATTATGAAGCCTAAATAAAATATGTGATGAGGCATGACGACCAGTGCGAGAAAGACACTATGAAGACCATAGTCTAATTAATTTTTTTGGTTAGAAACGTTAAAGGGCTTGATCCGGCTGAAGGACTAAATACAGAACAGGACTAATGGTTGCAAACGAAAAATCATCTGCGAAGTCTGGAGTTAATATCTTGAGAAAGCCTAAAATATAAAAAGAATTGCGAAAGCCATTCCAAGACAGAATATCCCCATAGCCTCACTCAAGGCAAATCCAAAGACGGCGTAGGTGAATAATTGGGTTTTCAAACCTGGATTGCGAGCCAGTGCAATGACGAGGTTACCGAAACAGGTACCAATACCAGCTCCAGATCCAGCCACACCCCCGCATGCAGCACCAGCACCGATATATTTTGCAGCTTGGTCAATGTCACGTCTGACAATTGAAGTATGGAACTGTTTGTAAGGCAAGATCGCTTCTCGTATTGGAAGTTGAAAACTCCGAAGCAACAAGCAAGAGGAAATTGGCCGCATGAAAGTCCGGGCTCCTGCCAGTGTTGCAACCTGCATGATCTACAGGGAAAAAAATAGTACAAGAAATGAAACCCCGTAAAATAGACGTTAGGATATAAGAAGACGCATAAATAACTCAACGGCGAAAAAAGACAAAGTACAAACCAGACGGTATAAGAGACGGCAAGAAGGGAGCGAAAGGAGGGACGAAACTGCAGCTACACGAGTAATTCACTCAAACAATAACAGAACCAAGAGAAAATTAGCCTTAATAGGGCAATAAAAATTTTAACAGAAATTTAAGATTAATCAATTTAACGTAAAATAATATAATAAAGATGTACTATTTCAAAATAATTCACAAATGAGTTTAAAATTAGCTAAGCTTCTGGGTCGACCCAAACAACGAGACTTATTTTTCATCAGTTAATGAGAATAATAAGCCTGTTAGTAATTAAAAGTTTTAACCCTATTTCGTTAAACTTAAATGTGTGATATAAGGTTTCAAATGGATAACATAATGCGTTAAAATTCTTATTCCAACCTGGCTACATTAGTAGCTAGCTCTTTATGGGAAAATTACTTTCGCATGTCATTCGGCACATAAATTAGTGGTGAAGGCTCTCACATTTTTTAATTTGCCCTTCAGAAACATCAGTAGTTATTCTGACATACCCCCAAAACCTCTTCACATATATCTGATCTGATACTGATTTATGAAATTGATATATTCAGGAGTTGCTTTCCTTTCATCCAAAGAGATGAGTGGATGGAATTTGTAAGTTTTTCTTATCGTAAGTCGAAGGGGAATTGCCTATGAGCTGTGCATGCAGATTTCTGCTCAGCACCTCGTTACCATGATAAACCATCGATTAACTGTCATCCGTCAAGTAACGGACATCATCAGAACAGGACAACATGCTTTATGACAATTCATCAAGGATGAATATAAGAAAGGTGGGCGGCTGCAATGCGACCTATTTCTTATTGCTTAACTTTGTCCAACTAATGATATATCTAATATATGGTAGGATATCCTATGCTTTTCCTATATTCTTGTTGAAAAGTTAAGTGGCTGAAAATGAAGCGTGAGATGGATCCAATTGTGGCAAAATAGCTGCATTCGATTGAATCACGTATATTTGTTGATCCTTCAATGGGGCCGCATGCGATTGCGTTTAATTGCACCTATTTTGCATTCATGCAATACTAATAAGACGCGTGCGGTTGTGCGAGTATAAATCAGAATTAAGACTAGTCGAGCCTTCTCCCCTTGCTCAGTGGTACCCTCATATCCTCCCTCTCTAATCCTATCCAATGACCACAGCAGCCAAGTTTCAGCCGTTCACTTTTCATCTTGCCACAAAACTTATTCACCAAGCCTGGCAGTATACCACGGTTTGCAAATGAGGCCAAACTTGGAGCGAAAAATTAAAAAGCTATTGTTTTAGCATAGCGTGGTGTAATGATATCTCGCATCAATAAATAAGATAAGCTATTATTTTCTTAAAACAATTAAACATAATATTTGGAATAACCAAACCCTGTTAAATGCTTTTTTTAGTATCAAAATCTTTTGCTAAGAGTTAACTTCTTGATTTCTGTCTCCTTTATTCATGAAAACATTTACCTTGTTTCAAGAAAGGCTACATTTCTCTATTTCATCATAATCAAATGCCTTATATTCATAAGTTAATACTGTATATTCCTGTATTAATGAGAAGGATTAGGATATAAAAGGTTAAAAGTATCTTACTCATCTAACCACTTAGAGATTGTTATTGGCAGACATATGAATTAATAATTACTACCCAAGTTACACCATCTATGATTTAAATTGTATATATTTTTTCTTAGGATTACTGCTTTAAAAATAGCAGATCTAAAATAATATTATATAATTTTTCTGGAAACGCTCATTAACTTCTTTTCGTTTTAGATTGCGGCATGGAATCGCAGTGTTTTTTCCTTTATGTAAAATTCACCATTCTTTGATTAAGGAATTCTAAAATATATTACTTTGCGTGTGATAATTCCAAAATACACTCTAAATAATCTAAATTATACATACAATATATCGAGTGATATTAAGAAAGGTGTAAGGGCTAGTCTTGCTCTAAAAAGTTTATACATTCTAAGTATTTAAACTTTCACTTTAATATTATATTCATACAGATGTATTCTGCTACACAAATTTAACATGCTTGAAAATAAACATTATGTTATCTATATATTACTGCAACAAGTAGATAACATTTGGTCTGAAATAGGCTGTATAATTTTTATAATTCCCATGTAAAAAGAGGGGAGGGATGAATATGTTCTTCAGCTGTCACCAAGGGTTCGTTTAAATTGCATGCTCATTGTCAACTTAGAATTTAATGAATAGCTTTAAGGATTTTGGCTTCAAGCGTATACTCATAAAACTAGGGCTTTACGGCAAAAGTAGATATATCTCTTATGGTGCCAAATTAAAAAAAAATATTTTTATATATTTGCTAGTGAAAATGATTGAGAATATTTTTTATTTACTATAATAAACGTGGAAGTTTAGTTCCTA